CATAAATGCGTCGTATACTTTTGAAACGAACTTGTGTGTGTGTGTGTTAGTTACGAATGATTGCGCGTAAAATAAATGAGTTGCGCATCTATCACACACTTTAGGATAAGTTCAAATTAATGTAAATAATTAATTACGAGTGATTGTAAATATTTATCATTTTTATATAACATTATTTATCTCTAGAATTTAATAAAAAAATGGATGCACTTAAAGCCTCCCTGTAAATTGTTGCGCAAATGCCCTCTCTTTACAGAGGATTTTAGGTATGTCCTAAAACCCTCGGCCGATGTCCAACCCAATGCCGATTTGCAAACATATATTCATATATTCGAAATATTTTTTGTTATTATTTCGAAAATGTGCAGGTTTTCTCATGATGTTTTCCGTCACCACTGAGCAAGTTAGAGGTCAGCACTTCAAATAAAAATGGTATTGCTGCAGACACCGGGATTTGAACACTTAGTACAACGGTAGCTTTTGTATATTCAATCAAAAACGAGCGCCGGACACTAAACTATCACGGTTTCAAGCTTTATATAAAATGTTATAAAAGTTGTCAATCGAGCAGGTGGTTCACCTTATGTTAAGTGATTACCACCACTCGAAGGTCTGTAGATGCGACAACCTTATAAAAAGTAGGCCCCGGCTACATCACTCACCAGATGAAACGCGAAAGTATAATGGCTTCACTTCAGTGAGGTCGTGGTCGTCATCTCCGGACGAACCTGCCCATTCCTGTAACAGTAGAAGCTGCTGCGAATGTATATAAAGGTGGCATGCAGGATTCGAGATCTTCGTATTTAAGTGTCATGTGTAAACAGAACTCTTTAGAGAAATGAGCATTTGTTTCGTACAATAATCAGTGATCTGTGCGAACCTCCTGAACATAAATTAGATTGGTGAAACTCTAATTAGAGCATTAGCTCTCTCAAAGCTCTCTGCAGTGGATTGTCACAGTCTCCATCGGTGAAGAACTTTTTTTATTTATTTATTTCGAAATAGCAACAAAATTACATGTACACAAAATTAAGCAGACAGAAATTTTATGGCGACGGATTAAACGTATTCTCAATTATAGGTAATCACATCATTGACAATAGTAATATGTTTGTCGTAAACTGAAACAGAAGAACATAATGTCAAAAAATAAAATATATACGATCGAGCGTGATGTAAAGGAAAAGAAATAAATTAAAAAGGTAACGTTTAATAAATATAGTGTAATAGTTCGGCAGTACATATATAGTTGTACGATGGTATCTTTAGATGCGCAAGGATGACACGCAAAATCGTGAACCCAATAAGTCTTGTTTAAATCAACATAATAGTAATAACAGTGTAATTTTTGTTTATATTTTTATTTTAAAATTGTTCAAACTACAGGAGAACAAACCGACGCTCTTGTCTTCCCTTGAGAATACTTGAGGCTGTACCAAGAATTTTCATTAATGTCATTGAAGACAAGAGCTATCAGACAATTTTATTACTGAATTGTTTAGAAATTGTCTATGATAGCTCTTTCGAAACGATACTTGTATTTATTAAAAAATAAGAACCGCAACTTATATAAGACAGATATGTATTGAATATAGCGTTTAATTTGTATTATAAGGATACCAAGTTTCTTGGGGCGGATGGTAAGCAAATTAGTTTCAGTAACATTTACCGCAAACTGTCTAACTTAATGGCACACAAATGGACGGGCCCTAGTCAGACTAATGAGATGGGTAACCATACTGAAGCGTACATACGTCATCCATACCCTGGGAATGTAACGAAATGAATGGTAGAATACGTAGTATTTTATGACAGTTTTTTACACAATGATCTCTAGTACCAACCTAAGCAACGCATGTACTATATAAATGATAAATATACTTAAACATAGTTTTCCTTGGCAAATAAATACATATTAGACACTGGAAAAACTCTATGTTCACCACACAATATTTTTACAGTAGTGGGGTTCGAACACACACCCTAGGCGCAAGAGGTAGGTTCAATACCCATTACGTCAATCGGGTCGTTGATAAAATGAAATCAAAATTTCAATGAAACATCAATATGTTAAGAGACCAAGAAATGGCTCATCAATCACTACATGGTGTAAAACAAAGTCGTTTCGCTCTCTGTCTGTCACTACGTGTGCTTAGATCTTTAAAATTGCGCAACGGATCTTGATTCGATTTTTTACTAGATAGAGTGCTTCAGGAGGATGGCTTATATGTATAATACTTGCATAATATAGTAGAGTATATTTAGTATCAGCATTGCATCCGTGCGAAGTCGGGGCAGGTCGCTAGTCGTTTGGCTTGCATACACGCAGCGTTATCACAGTAACGCGATGTGGTCAAGATACAAGGTCCAATTTGCGTCAATTACGATCCTGTCACGTTCAGTATGAGTGTGCGCGATGCGGTCCAATTGCGCATAAAGACAGTCAATATCCGCAAATTATTTATAGCGTGTTCAGAGATCGATTGGCTCGTTGACTTTTGAACGGACAGTAAAACTTCTCAGTCTCACTTTATTCTTATATTATGATATAGATGGTATAAATAATAATATAAGTATGAAACGTTATATTGGTAATACGTGGAAAGAGACTGCCATAACCTTATGTACTAGGCTGGTGTTCTTTGTATTTTATGTTTAGTTGGTTTATATTTCTCCGCTTGTATCGGTTTTTCTTTCCTGTTTTTATTTGTGAGATGTAATTTTTTCCCCCTTTTTTATAGTTTGTTTTAATAGTCCTTATCTGGTTTTCTTAATTGCATTGATATTAATGAAATAAAATATTATTTTTAAAATAGTTATTTTGTGTACATTGTATACCTACAAAAATGGCTACAATAAAAGAATCTTCATTATACTAAGAGGATCGCTTGTACCTCGGTGTCTGGATTAAAAGAAAACAGAGAGATTTTTCAGGATTTCCATTTGTTAAGTAATTTTATTTTCTTAATTGAACTGGACTTTATGAACAAATGGGAATGTTTAGTACATTTCTTTAGTGAATAAATAAAAATTTTATGCGAAGATGAAGTAAGAAATAAATTTAAAACTCGTTCCATTTTGGATATAAAATTTTATAATAAATAACAAATAAAGATTTTCAGAACATATTTGCATACAATCAATTTATTACGCGAATGCTCTAAAAGTATTAATTTAAATTGATATTCATTCAAATAAGATAACTTTTTCAATTGAAATTAATAGTTTTAATTAAATTTGAAAAATTTCAAAGAATCTTTCGATCGCTTTGAGATGTATAGTTCAAATATAAAAAATATTGTTCAAAGTCAAATATGTCAAAAGTTGAAGGTTTAAACATAAATAATATAGTTCAAGTGTCCAGAATTTCAAGAAGAATGCAGCAAACAATTGATCGACCCTTAACTATAGACAACTTCTAAAGTTTCATAAGCTTACAATGTATTAGTTATTCATAACGGTCTAACTATTTGATGACTTGATTGCCTTTATAGTTTTTGTAGCAACATGTAGAGCAATTAATAGCTAGGGATAATGAAAGGTAGGGTTATTTAAAGTTTTAGGGACTGGTAGTTAGCTCAAAATCCAATACGTGTCATTTATTCGCTGAGTACTACTATCACTAGATTGTATGATATAAGAAAAATAAAAAATCCAAATAGGTATAAGGGTTAAATATATTGTAGGGAAAACATGAAACAAATTGAAACGCTTAAAACTTGCTCTAGATGTTTTTTTTCTCTAAATTACACTTAAGTAAAACTACTTTCTTAGAGAGATCAAAGACAAAGGTCTTATAACAAATGGTGCTCATTTTTTACTTCTTACTTTGTTTTATTTTTCGTTGAAATTTCTTTTTTGTTTATACCTCCTTGAAAGTTGGTATAACGCTGGAGTGCATTAACGAATTAAGAGCGGAAAATCCACAGAACCCTGCCATAACTCGTGTCTGTGTTAATTAAAATATATTTTTACTTAGAGAAGCTTTTCATATTCAAATTGAGATGGCTCACGTTTTTATTTCACTCAACAATACAGTATGTGGTCGTTGTAGGTCACAATTTTTTTTAATGTTATGAGCTGGCAAACGAACAGGTTGTTCACCCGATGTTAAGTGATTACCGCCGCCCATGGACACCAGAGAAGTTGCCGGTGCGTTGCCGACTTGTAAAAAAGTGGGCCGCGGCTACCTCACCATACGAAACGTGAAAGAATAACACTTCTACTTCACGCCGGTCTTCTGTGAGGCCGTGGTACCTCCCGGGACGTGTTTTTCTTCTTCTTCATTCGTACAAAAACCGAAGCTCGTGGCTCTACCGTCGAAACATTTAAATGAATTTAACTGATCATAACTATAATCATCATGTTTTTATGATTAGTTTAATTATTAATTAATACAACAAAGATACCCTTTCACCTCTCACGGACAGCGCTATGTGGGATTCGTACCCACTAAAACCCCCTTCGTGGCTACGTTTCGGGGTTTCGTGTTCTGTACGTTTCGAGAGATCTCCTACGGAACGCACCGGTGTCCCTCGGTACTGCTCATGCGCACGCCGCGGAGAAGGATGAACCTTCCCCGATCAATAGCTAACACAGCTAATGAAGTTCAAGGTCGCCTAATGTCACATTAGACGACCGGGGGTTTTGTTAACGACCAATTTAATATTCAGATTATTAGATTTTACCGTTTAGTTTCATTAAAATATACTCGTAGTACCTGTTTCTAAGTTTTACATAATTGTAATAAATCTGTGTCCAATTAAATTTAATATTAACATGAAAATTATTTACATAATAAGCGATCAATGTATAAGCTTTATAAAGACTATAAAAAGTTTACACACACTATCATAAATCAAGAATATTTTGTAATTATGTATATAATATTTTGTACTTAAGAAAATTTTGTAACATTTGTTTTTTTTTTAAATAGATTATTTTAATTTAATAGCAACCTATATCTTTATTTTAATTGCAATGTATTATTACGCTTTTAGGGTCTCAATGTCGACAAACGCACTTTGGTCAGTGCGGAGAGGAAGCAGAGGACCTTTACGGATCGTTCCCAGTTGAAATATGCCCGAAGGCTCGTGGTCAAGCTTGGCAGCGCGGTGATAACCAGGGAAGATGGCAACGGGCTCGCTTTAGGGCGACTGGCTTCCATCGTCGAACAGGTGCGGTTCGAAACAAGAGATATATATATATTAACTGTACATTTTTAATCGACTTCAAAAAAGAAGGAGGTTTTTAACCGACTTCAAAAAAGAAGGAGGTTTTCACAATTCGACTGTATATATATATATTTTTTTTATGTGTGTTCGCGGATAACTTCGTCGTTTATGAACCGCTTATGGTTATTCTTTTTTTTCGGCGAGGAGATATCCCAAGGGTATATTATCCCATGATAAGGAAACCCAGATCTGATGATGGCATCCCCGAGAAATCGAGGGCAATCCTCAAATGTTAATTTTACTTGACAATGTTTTATAGTTTCCTGTATGAAGTCAGTTTTTTTTTTGTTAAAAATTATTTTGCTTCTTTTTCTACATGTTTTAATGTTCAAACTTAAGTGCTGAGATGAGCACTATAAAAAACTTTAAAATATATTTTGCTTCTTTTAAAATACAGTCGAGCCCGGATAAGTATTGGGACACATTTAGGACACATTTTTTTTACACAACGTTTTCTAGTCCCAAACTAAGAATAATAAAATACTTAAACATACTTTTCTTTTATAAATAAATACATACTATACACATATGCTACCCAGACACTAGAAAAACACTGTTCATTGCACAATATTTTTCCAGTAGTGAGGATCGAACCCACACCCTCTTACGCAGCAGGTACACTACTCACTACACCATTCGGGTCGTCTGTGATGAGAGTTCAAGAGACCGCAATCATTTTTTCGCTTGCGGAGGTTTCTACTAACCCAAGTTTCTACGTTGTATAGGTACACAAATGGCCATTAACCGTTTATCTCTCATCATCTTCCTGCCCTTATCCCACCAAGATGCGGTCAGCACAACATGAGAATCATCTTCACGTTGAAGAGATTCGAATTTCTCATACATAAAGGTTTATAAGGCTAAAAATAATCTATAATCAGGCACTTACTCACACTAAAACATTTTTCTCGTTTACCCTGGTCTCACTTACTCTCGACTGTATATTTATCATATTGAATTGTGCTGACTTTATCAATTTGAAATACAAATCGAAAATACAAAAAAATATATACAAACTGATTGGCCGTTCTGAGCTCACTCAGAGCATTCAATCAACTTAATTGATTGATTTATTTTGATCAATTGATACATTGAGAGCCGTGATAGCTTATTGTCCGGGCGCTCGCCTTTAATTCAATATACTCGAGCAACCTGAGTTCGATCCCCGGGGGCGGCACCAATTAAATTGTTAATTTTAAGTGTTGACTTATCACGTGCTCCGTGCTGAAGGAAAACATCGTGAGGAAACCTGCAAATTTTCGAAATACTAATAAAAATATTTCGAAGACATGTGAAATCCGCCAATTCGCAGTGCGGCCACATGGTGGACTACGCCCTGATACCGTCTGTATAGAGCAGGCCTTTGCCCAGCTGTGGGACATATACAGTGTGTCGTTACCATCGCGACAATAAATGAACACACATATAGGGGATAACTTTTTAAAGTTGTATTAAACATTTAAATTCTTTAATCATCAATATTTACAGAGTTATTAAATTTTCCAAAACAAAGAATTTTAGAACACCCTTACCTATAAAAGCGTAACGTAAAGTTCATTTGTAAAGGTCACAAAACATACTGTTAGAAGAAGAGGCTTGTAATACGACGCTGTGGCGCGAGTTGTATAGCATGTTACAAATTTTGTTTCTTTTTTACTTAATTAGTTTGTTTGAAAAATATTTTTTTTAATTATGCATTTTGTTTAACGTTAACATTTTTTTATGATTATTGGCAAGTAGCGTTAGACGTGTGTTCATTTATTGTCGCAATGGTAACGACACGCTGTATAGGCTGTTACTTTACTTTTAATTTATACATTTGACTTGCATGTTGAATTAGTGCAATTGTTTTATGTGTGTTTTTTCAGGTGGCCGAATGTCATCATGAAGGTAGGGAGTGCATAATGGTCACCAGCGGAGCGGTGGCTTTCGGGAGGCAAAAGTTGACACAAGAGTTGCTTATGTCAATGTCGATGAGGGAAACTCTATCACCGAGTGACCACACCAGGGAGGTGGGTTATATTATTCACAAGAATATTGTATTGTATGTTTTTGTCCTTTCTAAGTAACGTCATCTAGCGACAATCCATTTGCGCGGGGAAGTGTGAATCTACCACTTACGCTAGAGTGTGTGGGTTCGATCCCCATTACTGGAAAAATATTTTGTGATGAACATAGTGTTTTTCTAGTGCCTGGGTATTTATATGGCTACAATAGTTATTTATTAACAAAAGAAAAGTAGGTTTTAGTATGTTTATCAGTTTTCTAGCATGCATACATAGTACAAGCGTTGCTTAGTTTGGGACTAGAGAACTTTATGTGTGAAAATGTTTATTTATAATCGATGAAACCTGTTACAAGCATTCTTGGTTATGGGACTCGCCTTAAAACCAATTTTCAACCCACGCAAGTCGTTAAAAACATTCACGGTAACGGGACAGTGTACAGACTACTGCAAATAATTCGAAACGTTGCAAATTATAAACTAAAGATAAACTCGATAAATATGTAAAGGAAGTAACATTTTGTTATATATAGTATTCGCGAGAAAACAAAAAGTATTTCATATTCACAAATATTTACTTTGCGCTTCAGTTCAGTTGTGTTTATTTTCTCTTATATCTTACAGTAATATCTTTTAGATACTACTGTGTACATGAAAAAACTCTATTTATTTGAAATATTAAAAATTATTTATTTGATTCGCTTAATAAACCAGCCACGAAAACTCAGGTTTGTTAGATTCAAAATAAGGGTATCGCGATCATAACTGTTTTATATTCGTATATTGCGAACATACCACGAGTTTAATGCTAACTTTGACTAAATCTTTATAGAGAAAAATCAATGTCTCACGACGAAAAGAACATGTACATATAACTTTGTCGGAACAGATAGCAGAGTGAAATTTAAAAGCGTTCGTGCGCTCTGTTAGAAAAGCGCTGCTGAGCCATTAGGCTTTGGCCGGATAATGGAATATAAATGATTACTGATGAAGTAAAATTTTGTATTAATTTGTAATAATCTTTGTGCAGGACGCAGGAAGCATATTGGACCCACGCGCCGCTGCTGCAGTTGGGCAGTCGGAATTGATGTCGATGTATGACGCTATGTTTTCGCAGTATAACGTCAAAATAGCTCAGGTAAGAAGTCTTCTTATTTGATAGGGCTTCGTTCTTTGCTTATGTGTTCTAACGGGTAGGATTTTGTTCAACAGTAGACGTCTCCCGGGTGATGTTGATGATGATTTGTTTAAAGAGACGGCGTTAGTGAAACGGTCTACTTGCATATCGCGAAAGTATATGTGTATATGTATCTGTTTACGAAACTTGCAACGTGCAAAAACCATTGCCTTACTTATATTTGTACCACGTATACGTTATATACGTTCATAATTCCCAATATTCATTATTCCTAAATATAACAATATATTTAGGAATTTTTTATTTTTTTCAGCAGGTACCACCATACATGATATTAAAAATAATTTGAATTTACTAGTCAAATTAAGTGTAGAAGTATCAGCTGCTTGCATTACAATATTTGAGGAAGAATTCTTTTTTGTTGGCTACACTTAAGGAATTCATTACTTGAGGTTGTTGGCAATACTAAAAGAAGTGTCATCTATGAGGTATAAATGAAGCTGCAAGAAGCATTTCATGGTCGTCTTCGTCTTCTTCTTTTATTTATTTATTTATACTTCATTGTTACACCTTAGGCTAAAGGCTACAATGGGCGGACTTAATTGCCTAATGGCATTCTCTACCAGTCAACCCTTTCTTTGGTTGTTAATAGGTAGTATACGCGATAGTGCTGCCCAATAGGTATCACAGATAAAAACGTTAGAGTTGTGTTTCTTTAGTGATCTAAAATTAAAAAAAGTAATTATACCAGTGTTATTGTTGTGCAAAACGAATCTACGGTGATTTGGTAAAAGTATTTATATTTCTACCTTCTTAGCTCGATAAAACCTAACCTCGATAAAAGCTAACATTATATAAATCATCTATTTCTCTGACGCGTGTCATCCATATGCTTTCCAACTCGGTTTAACCTCATATTGTCAAAATATATGTAATAAAAACAAAATAATAAACGATTATTAAACGACGAACGAGCTCAAAACCAAGTTATAATAACGTACCTTGGAATATAAATCTGCGATTACATCTCGACCTATTCGTAATAAACCCTTATAATGGTTTATATTCCACATACGCCGTAAAGGTAACGGTTATCTGTGTACAAAATGGCGATATTGTGGCGGGATGCGGTCGGGTGGCCCCAATTGGGTACAAAAGAGAGGAGATTAAATCTTTTCATGCGTGCATTTTGTATCGGACTGTAATTACGATGGCCCTTTATATTTGGGAGAATTTTACATGGGCCAGAAATAATGAAGTTATATTTTTTGACGAAGTAACACAGGTGCTAATAACCGTAAATTCAAATACAAATAACTGTATTTAACAAAAACACTACTACCGGTTCGGAGAAAAATAAAACTGACCTGTGAAGAACCGGCAAAAGAAACTCAGTGCCGTTCGTTCGCTTTTAATACTATACATATACTCGAGCAACTTGAGTTCCATCCCCGTGGCGTAACCAATAAAAATTGCCAGTTGCAATTGAAAAATTAACTTATCACGTGCTCAGCCGTGAAAGAAACATTGTGAATAAGCCCACAAAAAAATGTATTTCGAATATATGTGAAGTCCGCCAATCCACAGCGGTGTCGCTATGTAAAGGGGGTATTAGGACCAAGTCTATCCTTATACCGTATCTACAGAGCAGATCTTTGGCCAGCAGTGGGACATTTGATGAATGAACATGGCTGTAAATTTACTTTACTTTAAGTGCTAGTCGTCACTCCATCTAGTGAGGGGTCATCCCACACTACGATGGCAAGTTCGAGACTGCCACTCGAGAACCTTTCTTCACCAGCGGTTATCGGTTCTACGAGCTATAGCCCATCCGAGTTAGATGGGCAGCGTTCCTGTGCAAATGAAAATTCATGAAAATAATACAATTCGGTGACACCTTCATAATTTTTTGTATGCAGGTTTTGGTGACGAAGCCGGATTTCTATAATGAAGAGACTAGGAAAAATTTGTTCGGCACCCTTTCAGAGCTGATATCTTTGAATATAGTCCCGATTATAAACACAAACGATGCCGTTAGTCCGCCTATGTACATTCATGACGATTCAGTGGTACCGGGAACAGGAAAGAAGGTGAGATTATTTTACAGTGAACTTGTTAGTTATAAAAAAAAAACGGCAGACGTTTACACACAGATAATAAGCCGAGTCAACAAAATATCCTCCATATCTCTCAATTTCTATTTGACCGTAATAAATCTCCTAGCAAATATTTGAGATACGTCTGAGTAATGTTGATAAAGTATATGCGGTTACATTATTTGATGATGTCTACATAAATGAAACTGTTACTGTAATTATGAAGGTCATCGCGTATTTTTATAACAGTATTGTCTAAAGTAGCAGTTTTAATTTTCTTAATGATTCAAATTAATTTGGTAATAAAATTATACTTCAAAGCATAACATTATATTGGAGAAAAGTTCATACATTCTTTATTATATATTGTCAACAAATTTATAAATAAGTATCAGAAAAATATTGTATTAATCAGCCATAAAATAGTTTGAAAGAGAGTTAACTTTTTTTTTATGGGAAAAGTTGCCAAACGAGCAGACGGGTCACCTGATGTTAAGTGAATACCGCCGTCCATGGACATCTGCTACACATGCGTAGACAACGTTTTGAAAATTGGGCCCCGGCTACCTCACTCACCAGACGAAACGCGAAAGTATTTATCATACTTCCACTTTACGCTGGTCTTCTGTGAGGTCGTGGTACTTCCCAGACGGGCCTGCCCATTCGTGCAACAGCCGAGGCTGCTGCGTGGCCCTACATCCGTTAAATGATGATTTCAATAATGATTCAATGATAATGATGTCAACAAATCTTTCAATTTTCAACTATTATTGATTTATCCTTTCAAGGGTTTAGGGATAAAGGACAATGACAGCCTGTCCGCATTACTAGCCGCTGAAGTGCAATCTGATTTGCTTATAATGATGTCAGACGTCGATGGTATATACAACAAACCGCCTTGGGAGGATGGTGCTCGTATGATGCATACGTACACTTCTAAGGATAGAGATCAAGTACAGTTTGGACAAAAATCTAAGGTAATATTTTTTAAGGCAATGTAGAGAATCTTTTCCTCGAACTTTTCTAAAGAATTTATTAAGCTATTCTGATGTAAGATATAGAATTTAAATGTTTATACATTATTTATTGCAATTTTCTGTCTATCTGATGCTATCAGGTCGGAACTGGAGGAATGGACTCTAAAGTAAACGCAGCAACTTGGGCGATGGCCCGTGGTGTGAGTGTGGTTATATGTAATGGAATGCAAGAAAAGGCCATTAAAACAATCATCAGCGGGCGAAAAGTGGGAACTTTCTTTACTGATCACGCAACAAACTCATCAGTTTCCGTTGATGTCTTAGCTGAAAACGGTATGTTCTACTTTAAATCCAAAAACTGAGGCTTATTTATTATTCATTCAAACACGTGTCCCAAATATAGATATGGATCTATTTGTTCTACTTTTTCATCTACTATTATTTTACAATAGTTTTTTTTTTTCTGAAACCCTTGACTTTATTTAACTTACATTCACCATTATTAATACTTAATATCAATCCGTGAATGAGTTAAAAAATAGTGTGTCATTAGTGTAACAGATATTAACTGTGCTAAAATTTCAGCTCGTTCTGGCAGCCGAGTGTTACAACAGTTAAACCCATCAGAAAGAGCTTCGGCCATACATACGTTATCTGATTTGTTATTAAACAAGCAAGATAAAATACTGGAAGCTAATGCTAAAGATTTGGAGGAAGCCACCAAAGGTGGCCTGGCCAAACCACTACTAAACAGACTTTCTCTCAGTCAGAGTAAATTGAAGACTTTGTCAATCGGATTAAAACAAATAGCCGATTCAAGCTACGAAAACGTTGGACGAGTGCTGCGAAAAACGAAGTTAGCAGAGAATTTGATACTGCGGCAGGTGACGGTACCAATTGGTGTACTTTTGGTGATTTTCGAATCTAGACCAGATTCATTACCTCAAGTAGCTGCTTTGGCTATGGCTTCAGCTAATGGGTTGTTACTGAAAGGTGGCAAGGAAGCGGCGTATTCAAATAAAGCATTAATGGAACTTGTGAAGGAGTCTCTTGAAACTGTCGGTGCCGAGGATGCAATTTCATTGGTGTCAACTCGCGAGGAAATTAGTGACTTGTTGTCTATGGAGAAACACATTGACCTGATAATTCCTCGTGGCTCTTCCGATCTGGTCAGAAGTATTCAAAAACAATCTCAACACATACCTGTACTAGGTCACGCGGAAGGGATTTGCCACGTCTACATAGACAGAGACGCAGATCCAGTAAAGGCTCTGAAAATTGTCAAAGATGCAAAGTGTGATTATCCGGCGGCTTGTAATGCAATGGAGACGTTACTGGTGCACGAAGATCATCTATCTACCTCGCTATTCACAGACATTTGCAATATGCTTAAGAAGGAAGGTGTTAAAATACACGCGGGTCCTAGGCTTTCTAATCACTTGACGTTTGGGCCACCGCCCGCGAGATCTATGAGACATGAGTATGGCGCTTTAGAGTGCTGTGTTGAATTAGTTAAAGATATGGAAGATGCCGTGGAGCACATTCATAAATTTGGTAGTTCACATACCGACGTTATTGTAACAGAAAATGGTAAGATATAATTTTGCATCTATGTTACAAACATGCTACCATATTTATTATTCAAATTACTTTGTATAACATAATCATAAGTTTTCTTTACAACTACAGTTAAAGTATTGAAAGTGATATTAAAAAATTAAAATAGTTGCCATTTTAGATTCTCCAGTAATTGTAGTACGTTTATTGAGGGGAAAAGTTTTTATAGAAAGACATGTTTACAGATGCTGCAGCTAAAAAGTTTCTCGCAGTTGTAGACAGTGCTTGCGTATTTCACAATGTGTCTTCGCGCTTCGCCGACGGCTTTAGGTTCGGGCTCGGCGCCGAAGTTGGAATCTCAACGGCTAGGATTCACGCGAGAGGTAAGTAATTGCCTTGAAAACTTCGAGCGAGAATGGGGAAGAACGCGAGAGAGACCTGTGAGATAAATTGTACTTAGAAACTACTAAAGCTTCTCGCCTTATGGTAATGGCGCCAATTTTTAGGGTTCCGTACCCAAAGGGCAAAACGGGACCCTATTACTAAGACCCCGCTGTCTGTTTGTCCGTCTGGCACCAGGCTGTATCTCATGAACCGTGATGATTAGACAGTACAAATTTTCACAGATGATGTATTTACATGTTTAAGTAGGGCTCTCATAAAAATTTAATTTTTTTATAGTGCTAATCTCTGCACTTAAGATTAAACGTTAAAATTTGTAGAGAAAGTACGAAAATATTGTCGCCGCTGTGGGAATCGAACCCACGTCTTCGGCAATCGCGGCCTGACGCTCTAGGCTGATTGCCACACGCAGAAGTATACACTAGAACACTTCCACTTCACGCCGGTCTTCTGTGAGGTCGTGGTGCTTACCTGGACGGACCCGCCCATTCGCGCAAAAAAGAGAGGCTGTTGCGTGGCCCTACCAACATTTCTTGTTTTCAGAGTTCTACAGTTAGCATATTGGTAGTACTTTTCAAATATCGCTATTGTTACAGGTCCAGTGGGTGTAGAAGGTCTTTTAACGACGAAGTGGATACTTGAGGGATCCGATCACACCGCAGCGGAGTTTAATGAAGGAAAAAGGACATGGATACATGAAAACCTCCCCGTGAATTAAATTGTCCTTTGTGATTACGATGTTCAAAAAGAGACTAAACCTTGTTATAACAACAGACATTTAGTTAGTTTTAGTTAAACTCTTTAAAAAACATGTGATATTTTATTTAGTTTTACTTAGATTTTAGTGAATTGGGAAGATTTTCCGGAATGCTATAGTAAAAGACTAGGTTAATTTTTTGTATGCGTAAATAAATAAAAATATGTTTATTTTGTTTGTGTAAGAATATTATGGGTCCTTTTACTTAATATTCTATTAATAAATCTCTCCTCCTCACCCTACTCCTGCATTTTTAAGATGACCTAGTATGAACTAGTTGTCTCTGTTGATTGAATTGGACTGGCTTAAAAAAATAAAAAATAGGACAAGAACCAGACCTGATTTGGTGTGATAGTTTAGCGGCGATGTTTGTTGAAATTTCTTCTTAACTTATGTGTGAATATTATTATCAACTCAGTCCATAATCTAGCAACTTAATCAGCAGATAAAATAAATTGTTTCATTTACTACGATACCGTAAGGTCTCAATCGTAAAGTTTTTATTTGACGACCCAGCGACTGGGAATTGAGACTTTTTTTGGCTAAAGTTTTTTTTATGTGAAAAGTAAACAAACGATCAGGCAGTTAATCTGACGTTAAGCAATTACCACCACCCATGGACATCTGCAATAGTTGACGAGTTGCAGATGCGTTGCAAAGCAATAAGAAAGAAGGCTCGGTTACCTCACTGCCCACACGTAACGCGAAAGTAATACTTCTAATTCCCGTCAGTCTTCTGTGAGGCCGTTGTACCTCCCCGGACCAGCCTGCCATTCGTGCAGAAGTTTCTGCGTGGCCCTCGTTGTACAATCCATTCGTACCACAAGCCTGCCCATTCGTGCAATAGTACAAGTTTCTGCGTTGCCCTACTACAGTGGCCCCACCACATTTATCAATAATTTATCTGATATTCGAATTTTTACGTGTGAACTTCCTAATATTATAGAAAGGAAGGAAGAAAGAAATGTTTATTCGGCGCATTATATTACAGTAAAAAAATGCACGAATAAGGTTTTATTTTTATGCGAAAAGTTGTCAAACGAGCAGACGGTTCACCTGATGTTCAGTGAATACCGCCGCCCATGGACATCTACTACACCCGAGGGTTACAGATGCGTTGACAACCTTTTGAAAATTGGGCTCCGGCTACCTCATTCACCAAACGAAATGTGAAAGTATTTGTCATACTTCCAATTTACGCTGGTCTTCTGTGAGGCCGTGGTACTCACCCGGACGAGACTGCCCATTCGTGCAACAGCCGAGGCTGTTGCGTGGCCCCTACCACCGTACAAAATCTCTCGGTCTCCGCTCAATTTATAGCCGCGGCAGAACACAACACGGCACTGCTTTTCCGTGGATGCCTTAAAAGATTGGCGTTCAGCTCCATGATACAGGCAACAAATTTTAAAAATATCACTATTAATTAAGATTGAGACTAGATACACTTGTCATTGCTATTGGCTAATATGATCATGTTAGCCGATAGCTGAAAGAATCCTTACTAATATTATAAAGACGATAGTTTGTATGTATGGATGGATGTTTGTTACTCTTTCACGCAAATACTGCTGAATGGATTTTAATGAAACTTTACAATAATATAGATTATACATCAGAATAACACATCGGCTATAACTTATATATATATATATATATATATATATTTTTATGTATATAAATTATATAGTATGTGTTATAATGTTACGCCTTCAGCCTATTCTACGCAGACGCAGTCTTATATTTGTATTAAAAACATGTGAATGGTCAATCATTCGATAAAATAATAATATTCGAATGCAACTAAGGTTAAAATACCAATGCCTTTTGGGAGCTAGTCAAAGCAGATTCAATAACACGCATGGTCTGTATTATTATAGTACTAAGGGTTATATAGAGTGGCGCATAAGTGCCAACGTAAACCCTATTTTTATCCATGTTACGAGAATAAACACGGATTCGAATCTGTGCAAAAGAAAAAAGTTAACAATGCTAAAAGTGAATGCTGGCGGTGGGAATGGAAATAATTCTTTTGCCGGAGGAATAGTCTAACTTTCAAACTATTTATAATTTTCATTATTAAACTTTTAAGGTTCGTTGATAGAAAATTATACCTTGTCGGGTTTTCTTTTGTTATGCTTTTCTCAAGTAGAATAATGGCTGCGAGTTTTATACAATACATTTAAAACTCTTGTGTTGAGTGAGCTATTTCGAGCTTTTTAAGAACTGGCAACGCAAAACGACCGGGATTTAAGCCAAGTGAGCAAAAATTATGGAAGGCGCAATGTAATTTTTGTGTACGATTGGTAAATAAGTTTTTAATTCATCCATGTTAGGAGTTTGTCATCTTTGTCTTTACATAATAAGTAATGTCTAATTGTACTTGCTTTTGTATTACCATATAGAATTTAGAAATGCAACGGGATGTAATCTTTGCAAATAAAACTTTACAATAAGGTGGGTAAATACGTCCCAGGTGATCCCTTTGTCTGGTTTGCGTATGCATATAAAACATAAAACGAGCAGACGACACGTTTTCATCCATTTAAAATGCTATTCAGTACGATGTATTATATTTAAATTCGAGATTCTTTATGGCTGTGAGGGTAAAGGTAAAAATTCTAAAATTTTATTTATTTAATGAAAAGAGTATTCTTATGTCTTTATTTATTTTGAGCCGGGCTAAAGGGCAATATAGAACAGATTTGTATAGTTGTGATTTGGTTGCCTATCGTAGTGAGCGGACTTCGCGAAATGAAAAGTTGTGTGTCAGTTTCTATCACAATACCAAATTGAGAGTAAGCGATATTAAGAGTTACTTCTTTTATAGGCGGAAAGATAATAAACACCATTTTAAGTTTTAACCTCGGAATAGTCGTATGTTGATGTTTTACATTCATAAGCTTGACATGGACAAACAACCAGATTTGTAACCATTACCCATGGGGAAACAAACCCACCATCCCAGGTGACAATGCTAAAAGCTTAACAACTGTGCCACGAAGTAACTGCATAAATACATTTTAATGTCTACATTTCCAATTATAGTAAGTCGTTCACTGAAAGTACCAACATGTACAAAGATCTTTGGATAAGGGCAAAATCATGCGGTTTCGGTTGCTGGGGATGAAACATAATGTATGTACAGATAAAATATGTACTTAGGATAAATTTAATCCAACGTAGCTCACGAATGTACGAATAATTGAGTGGGCGGTAAATAGACCTAAGGTTTGTAGTGCATTGTTCACACGATTCATTAAATATTACAAGCATATTGCGATGGAACGTAGTCTGAATGTAAAAAAAATATTTTATTGTTAGTTAGGAAATAATACGGATGTTTTTACTGAAAGGTGTTGACGAATGTTCGTCACTCAGTTCGGAGAAGTCTCAGCATGTCTTAATGCTTCCTTATATTTTTGAGCTATAGACCTCAACTTCCTCCTCGTTAGATAACAAGTAATTTAGTTGGTATTTTATATTGTAAAGGTACAAAAATAGTCCAAGGGGAAAATGTGAATGATATTTAGGCGTAGACATTGCTGAGCTTTATAAAGCTATAGTATTGTTATAAGCAGTGCTTAAATAGCGATATTATTATATTAAGCACTGGTTAAGTGAACTGTGTTGAATCTAAACACAGTTTAATAGTCCTAGTAAAATGCAGCGTTACAGTCTGGTTCTGTGGTATAAGTTTCGTACCGCAACATGAGCCAGCGGTTGAATTAAGGATCTGCTAAATTTGAAACTAAACTGGGCCACCGTAATACACGCTCATATTGAAAATATACTTGCTGAAGTAGTATACTGTAACTTTTTTGAGTTTTAGTTACTTCTTGGATTGATTTAAACAGTTGTCAGAAACGAAGATTTAAGCACGGTTCCATCCATACATAACATAGTTTTGAACTATGATTTGTATGGATTGTTTTCCTGTTGATAGTTTGAATCAATGTGTTATTAGGATTGCGCATAACCAAAGAGTTATCATACCATAGCGAAAAGCGGGTTATAGATATATAAATTTAATTTATCAGATGGTGAGATTTTGAATTTAAAATTAGCGTTTGCTGCGTGGATTAAAATCAAAATAATAGTTGTTCAGCTTACGTGAGCTTGGATTAATAGTGACAATCGCGACGTATTTCTGTAATACTATCTTAAATCACGGTAAAAAATAATTATTGAGCTAGGGAATGCAGTTTGGTATTATGGCGCATGGGCTAACTTTTATTTGTCAAATTCAGTCGTTATTATAAATGTTTAATTAGCGTTGCATCTCATGGAAACAAATCTATTTACAGTTGTTAATTTAATTATTAAATATTTTCACTAAAAACATTAAAACAAAAAGGCGCAAAAGCTTTTCCAAACACAAATCAATGATTGTTAAATAAATGAAAGGAAAAGTTTCCTGGAAACTCCTTAATCAAGTGACTACTTTGTGACCCTTTATTGCCTCCACTTTCTATAACTTCCTCCATTGTAACTCTGAAAGTAATAATCTTATTGTGCGTTTCCGTCTTCAATAACGTTAATCACAGTTCTTTGTTGATGCGGACATAACTTGACGTCTTAAATGTAGGGAAGTAGTATTTTTTGTTACATCGCACCTTGATAGTGTAAGTTATCCTCTCTCGAAAAAGATAAATGGCTTTTGGGGTAAAACTATAGTTATTCACATTAATACTTGTTGAATACGGCTTAATTATTATCATTTCCTTACGTCATATATACAACATCCTAGATGTCATAGTCTTCTTATCCAATTTTTTTATGTGAGTCTGTGGCAAACGAATTGACGGTTTACCTGACATTAAGTGATAACCGCCGCCCTTGAACAGTTGCAACACCCGTAGGGTTGCAAATGCGTTGCGAACTTTTAATAAAGTGGGCCCCGACTACCTCACTCACCAGACGAAACGCAGAAGTACCGTAAGTAGGTAACACTTCTACGT